CCCCTCCCCCCGGGGGATTTGGCTTCCCTGTTATCTAATAACCAAAGCTTAAAATGACTACATGATCTAGTAGTCTGCAAACTTGAGCATTGTGGAAGCAAACAGTTTCCCAAGGTAGGATAATTTTGCTACTAAAATGGGTGGAAAAAAATTTTACTGCCTTGTTCTCAAGTCAAATCCACATGTTTATATGTAAATGCCCTAATCTGAAATCCAGACTGCCCATCTTTTTCAAAAGAATGTTTTGCACTACAAACTAGACAATGTAAACAGAAGGATGCAGCTCCACCCTGCTAATGGCTGTGTCCCTAGATTGGCTGGCATATATCCAAACGGACATTAAATAACAAAAGTATGAATTATTGTTAGGAAGATCTTTTAATTATCTCATTTCTGTGTCTTTGGGACAAACAAGTTTCTGCTGGATAGGATATTACAGTGCAAATACTGCAGTTTTGCTAGCGTCCTGCCAGTGGTTAATGACTTTGAATGATCTTGAAACTGCTATTTCTTCCACTGATTCAATGCTACACTTTTTGTGAAAGACCAGAATGTACTGGGATTTCTTTTGAGATACACACAGCATACTGTATAATTAATTAAACAAGGGCCATTATGGACATTTGATTTAAGCATCTATTGTATTCAGAATGATCTCTTGATAGATCAGGTGCAGTCAGTCTCTAGCTTGGTTTCTGAGGTCATCCTCTCCTTACAGACATTTACTTAGAGAGTACTAATGTTTTTTCTAAATGGCTTCTCTGAGCCATGACCTTGTTTCTTGAACCCTTCCTTCCCAAGCATGATCAATTATTAATTTGACACTGTTTTTTTTTTCTGGAGAGGGAGAGCAATATTTTCTTTCTTTTTTTCTGGGATAGTTATGTTGCTATTGCTTCTGGTTTGGGGTTTGTTGTTTTTGGTTTTTTTTCTATCGTAGGGTAGAAAAACATGGCAAAGTGTCATTTACCTGCAAGATAATAGACTCCAGAAAAATAGATACAATTTTATTGATTAATTCTGAGAGATCCTGAGCACTCTACTGTAGTTCCTATTAATTTCCCAAATTATAGTTGTATAGCTTGCAGTGACCACGTTTATGAATGTGAATCTGAAACAGTGAGAAAAGTACTGATTTGAACCTGGGAGCTAGGAACCTGGAACTCTTATCTCCACATTTGGATCTGAGTTGTCAGCACAGTACCTCTCTCTATTATCTGTAATGTTTATATTATTTACTTACTAAATCCTTGACAACAGATTCGGGTAATTTTTGTAAAATGCTAAAGGAATATTGAGGTACTTGTTATGTGTTAACAGAGGGGAAAAATACTCCTGAATGTATATAAAAAACAAACGAGACAAATGTTCATGCTCTTGAATGTTAGAGACCAAGTCTCCTGAAGGGTACTGTCTTGACAGCGTTGTTAGATCATTTCTAACACCTCCTATATCCCCCCCTTGAAGTTCCCACAAATGTCAATTTTGGAAGAGTTATCTTTCACTTCTGTTGAATGTAGGGGGAATTGAGCAGCCTGACACTTGAAAGGCTGGGACCACAGGGAGCTTCAGCTACTTGGTATCTCAGAGGCTTTATTCTTTTAATGTATGTTTGCTGCTCTAAGTCAGAAAACATTCAGCAGGTCAGTGCTCTGGCTCATACCTATAGAGAACCTTTCTCTCTAACCCTTTTCTCTCCTTCTGCCACTTATTTTTGCAATGGAAGATATTTCTATATGATGCCAAAAAGTATTTTTTTATGTTTAAAATAATCAATATAGCTTAACGAGGAAAGGTATCATAGCATAAAAGTAATGAACACACTTAGTTGTTACTGTGGAACTGAAAGATGCTAGTCCAGCCTTCCCCCTTGTTGCTTCTTAGGCTCAGCACTGCAGGTACACACAGGACTAATGGCTTAGACTGAACTGGCCCCTGTTTCTCAGTTCATGTACCTTACAGTCTGTATGCTGGAGAGATCTGTTACCTCCACCCCTGCACTTCTGCAGCACTTCAGTTCTAGCATGCCCCTCACCTGCTGTAGAGGCACAGTAGTTGGGAGAAGGGTACTAAGTCTATGCAGAAACGCCAGGGGTGGATAGGCAGTTCTCTGTGTACTTGTGGAATATTAGGTTGTTGAAATAGGTGAAAGCTTTTGGGTAGGGAGAGAGTTTGAGGTGTCACCAGTCACATATGAAAACATTGAGGGGGGACAGAAAAAACATGTATGAGGGAACTGACATTCATCTTGAGTAGTATATGCAGTGTGCATGGAAAGAGCGTGTTTGTTTCTGTATTGAGAGGAAGGGGAATGTTGTGCAAATCAAGATGTTTACACAGGTGGCTGGCTGGGCTACGGCATTACTCTTATGAACTCCTTTGGACAACTGAAATAAGGATGCAGCAATAGAAAAGCCAGAGAGCGCTGCTTAGAGTGCTTAAATGCAAACCTTGAAGGCAGGGGTGTGACATGGTTTGCAGTCTCCCTCAGTCTGGGCATCATACAGCACTGCTGTTGTCTCCTGTGTTACATCACAAAACCTGCTCCAAGTCTGATATATACCGGTATATAATCATGGCATCTGTTTTACCTGTTGCCCAGGTTACTACTGCTTATAACAGTGGTTACTGGAAGCGTTAAGGCCATCAGCACAGTACAGACTGCCGTATGACTGTTCAGGCCTCTCTGGTTTGATGCTAGTGGTCCTTTGTAGTTGCAATGCCTTCTCCATTCAGATGCTACATGTGCAAAGGCACCTATGTCAGAGTTGCAACTGTTTGCCCCATGGTTATATTATACTGCTTGCTGGTTGGGGTGGTTTCTCTTTGAAAACTGTGACATTGTGTGTTAACAGTGGAGAATGGAAACCTGGATAACTTACCAGATCAGCAGCGCCTGGGAACCGTCAGCGTTCGCATCATGGTTCATGAGTGGCCTTTGGCGTCCAGTTCTGATTTGCAGCTTGTTGTCATTCAGGAAGAAGTGACAGAAATTGACGGAAAACAGGTATAGAAAAACCACTCAACACGCTGCTTGATTTTAATTTAGGAGAGGCAAGTAGTTACCAAGGATTAAAAGGTTTACATGTGTCTGGTGGTTGTTAGAGCACACAGTATGTCATCTCATGCTAGCTAGCACAGTACTGAGGGAGATAATACCAACCTAAGTTGCCTGTATAGTAGCAGGGTTGTTTCATGAGGGTTCAAGTTTTATAGCTTCTATTCTTACTTTAATAATTAAGCATTGGATGGTTTTCCCTTAAGCTTGTTAGAATATCATTAATGGTCTCATGCTTTTTCAATGCATGCATTTATGCAAGCAAAGTCAGACTCAGAAGCAGTACTTAATTTACAAAATAATGTACAAAATAAATAAAAGGGGCATGGGCTTGTTCTGAGTCCTGGGGTTTTCCCCACTGTTTATTCCAAGTTAATAAAGTATTTCAAGCACATAGTGTGGGGAATAGCTTGCAGCAGCAAATTCTTATGGCAGCTGAGCTTGTTGTGAAAGCCCACAACACTTGAGAGCTTAGCCTTGGAATATTTTGCATGTAAGATAATGAATTCATTTGAATAAAAATATTGATAACATGGATTTTGAGATGAACAAAAAATACCACCCCAAACTCTGACTGTATTTGCACAAATACCAGTGAATGCAAGGGGTTACAATCTCTAGCTGAGATTGAAATGTGCAGAACTGGGTTCTCAAAATCACCTATAAGGTATAGTTATTTTTCCAACTGGAGTAGTTCTAGAGAAGATACTGTTGCTGAAGCCAGCAAAAGTGACAAATTTTTGTCCCAGTACATGTCTGCATCTTACATGGGGCTGAGCTCTTTTAAAGCTGGCTCACGTTCTGCTGGCTGCTTTTTTTTTTTTTTTTTTTTTTTTTTTTTTTTTTTAAGGAGAATGATGATAATACCATTGATTAATTGCATGCTCAGCATGTAGTAGTTTTTACAGGGATCTGCATCATGTCAAAATCTTACTCTGTTAATGAAAAATCCCAATGAGTGGTTTGAAGCTTTTTCTAATGAGGTGTTTATTCCACTGTTAGGACGCTAATATATCCTGGTTTGATTCAGTTGTTACACAATAGTGTTGTTGTATTTCAGATTTCAAACTAGACATCAAAATGCATTTCAGATTTTCAGAGGGACCTGGTAAGAACAACCAGAAAGCTACTGCTATTTCCTTAATTGTTCCTTTAAGTCAAAAGCTTTCAGTCTTTCTCATTAGTTATTAGCTGACAGTAGCAATTGTCTATTTCATTGCATTGTTCTGTGCATGTTTGAAGCAAAAGGAGAGCGTTGGTTGCCCTGTGGCTCTGGAAGCATGAGTGACACTGTATCACATGCTGCATTCCTATTTTGTTAGTTATATTTCTATGTAGCAGTTATAGTCACAAACACTCTGGATTTTTGTCGGTTCTTAGCCTCCCAATGTAGTTATTGATGAGAGCAGGAGTTATGCTGAATGTGTTCTATATAAGTAATGCTTGTGTTATTATTGATTAGTAAGTGAAATGGGTCCAGTGCATCACTGGAAGAGGAAGAAAACTATTATTTTGGTTGCTGAGAAAAAGCAACATTACTGCAGAAATACAAGTGTCAGTCTTGCCTCAGCAACACTTTCAGTGTTTGCAAATGCTCTTTCACTACTTACTTGAGTTTTCCATGCCCTAAAATGCCTCCCTGAAAGAGGATTGTAATGAGCTATATAAGACTTGGTGAAAAGCCCATGGAGTGACTACTGCATGCTTTGGCAGAGAGAGACTCTGTTCAGCATATTTTCTAACGTGGTATAGTCTACAGAAGTCTGGTACATAAAGCCAAAGAATACTAATTCATGTTATAACATCCCTATGTCTAAATCTTAATGGCTTGGAGTTTTCTGTGATGTATTGGTTTTCTCTGCCAGCCTACTTCACTCTTACTCAGTAATACCAACATGTTTGCATCTCTTGTAGGTTCAGCAGGAAGACGTAACAGAAATAGATATTTTAGTGAAGGACCTGAGAGTACTTAGACATTCAAACTACACTGTCCCTTTGAAAGAGAGCATGCTGTATTCCATCCCAAGGAACAATGACATGTTATTTACACTTCCCAACCTCTCAGGAAAAGGTATCTCTCTTAGCTGCTGCACAATACTTTTATTTATAGTTGATGTAGTGCTTTACAAGGGTGAATGAACATCATTATTGCTGTTTTACACAGTGAAACAGTTTCTTCATTAACAGGGAAGTGTTTTAGGGGTTTTTAATCACCTAAATTCAACTCTTCTACATTCTAGGTATTCTGTTTGTTTTTAAATCTGTTCTCCTTCGAAGCACTTGTGCAATCTGCAACCCAGACATCTCACAGGAAAAAATTCCTCTCTCAGTGCTATGATGGAAGTTTCTCTAAAGCTCCCTCTACTTTCTTGAGAATGAAAGAGAAAACTGGAGAGGAAATACCTGTCTGGGTCACTTCCAAACCAGAGAATAGTTTTATGTTATTAAAACTTGAATAACTTAAGGCAAGAAAAGTTATTTGATGCCTTAATCTTACTTCAGTTTTGTTTAATCAAAAAAGTCTCAAGGATTTCATAGCAGATTAATATTTTGATCTAGTTCATCACCTCTTAATCTGGTGACAGCTGAAATTTACAGCTAAAGGCTGTGCTGTAACACTGCTTCTGCTTCTTATCAAGTTCACTACTCAAGTAAAAAAAAAAAAAAGCCTTCTGTATTCTTGCTGTAAACGTGAGAACTGTGCCATAAGTATAGAAATGCAGCATGTCTTTGTTTTCCTGAATAGTGAGTTAAATAAAAAGCAAACCCCCACTAAATCTAGCTTTTCTTCTTCAGATATTCAAGATCCACTGCAAACTACCAGTCAGTACCTCATCCAGCAAGTAGAAACTACAGTAGATGAAGAGACACTACCTGGCAAGTTACCAGAGACTCCTCTTCGGATAGAGCCTCCATCTTCTTACAAGGTAGTTTTGTTGTTTGTTTTCATTATTAGTATATACCTTTAAAGACTGATCTGAAAAGGAGAAGCAGGTTTTTTCCCTATTTCCCCAGAGATGAAATGCATATAGCTTAGTGACATTTCTAGGAGAGGGAGAGTTGTAGTAACATGGTGCAGATAGCGCTGAACGTTACTCAGTATTACAGTTCAATGGAATAAACTTCCCCATTTTTTGTAATTTTCTACAGAAACACATACAAATATTATGTTTTCCTCTTTTGTGGATGTTTACAGAACAAAACAAACAAAGAATTGTTGGGATTCAGATAGTGGGTTTTCCTTCTGTAAAGGCCAAACACAACATTCATTTAAAGATGGTAAGAAGGTGTATTAACATGTCTCGGCCTTTGTATTTGTTCCTCTATTTTTAATTTGAAAAAATCCCAGTATAGTATGTAATAACTCATTTCTGGAAGAGAGAATTACCATTCCTACTTAACCTAGTACTGACTTCTCGGAGTACTCTTTTGCTGCTTTGTATTTGTTAAAGACTAGGATATTCTATTGTGGGAGGTATCTGGCAGTAACTGACTTCCACAGAAGTCTAAGAAATCCCCACAGCCAACTGCTAAAAACAGACTTTCACAGACATACTCTAGGAAACTTAAACACCCCCCCTTTCTAATTTACCACTTAGCAGTGAGAAATTGTTGGGTTTTTTCACTCTAGTAGGAATAAAATGGGTTTCTAAATCCTGTAGTGTTCTGACCTCACAGATGCTTGATGACAGTCAGTCATGATATTTTATGTTATACCAAGCTAATAATTTACAATTATTTCAAATATTGTTTAGCTTTAAGTTACATGATTTTTTTCTGAATTTGCTTGAGTGCTTACGCCTCTGGGAGATGGGCCATTGGTCTCCCTTGCTGTAAGAAACACAGTAACAGCTTGAGAAGTTTCAGTTCCAGATGAAGGTAGAGAGGGGCTTTGTGGCCGCCTCTGTGGCTGAAAGAAACACTTTATAACCTACTGCAGACAGGAGGGCCAAAATAATAGGCTGAAAGTTACAGACAGGCTAGAGAAGGTGCTAGCTCTCTCCTGAGCTGTCAGTAACCCTTTCCCTGTGGTACGCTGCCATGGTGTCATAGCCTCTCTGTGCCTAGGCCAAATAGCTCACCCTTCACCTGCTCTGTTCAAGTGTCCTTTATTTTCTTAAGTGGCCTTTCCTTTCAGGGAACTCTGCTAGCACGAGCAGAGAACTAAACCTTCACCAGTTCCAAAATTCATAGAAGAAAGGGGTCCGAGTCACCAGTTAATTCCGTCCTACTTTTATGTATAATTAAGCATACATAAATTTAACTAAAAGTATCACTATATAATATGATTCACCATTAGCTACAAAAAGTGCACTTGCTATGTTTTGCAAACTATCTTTTTATTTTTACCTGTTTGGTTGTAGGTGATGTGCCAGTGGGTGGAAGACTTGAGAAAAGGGTTGTGCAGATTCTGGCTTCAATCTTTACCTATCTTCTTTAATTTGATGGAAGTTATTGTAGTTGGAGTTGTTGGAGCAGCTCTTATTCTCAAAGTCTTAAAGGTGATTCTCCCTTCCTGTGAAAACAAGTAAGTAATTTGTGCTGTTTTTTTTCTCTGATGAAAGCTAAACATTAACTAAAAAAAAAATAATCTTCCAAGCAGCAGCTCTATTCTGTAGGGATATGGTGCAAATTCACTGAAAAAGCTGCTGGTAACTTCCTATTCCAAGTGATCTTTTGACCAATCAGCATTTCAGAGGAACATGGGAAAATCTTTTATTGGAAATGTCTTTACCTTGGCTGTCATACTACCAAATTTTTATCGAGTCTTCTAAGGACTACGTTGTGAGACACCATTAACATAGCTCTGAGAGAGGATGGTAGAAGCTAGAGCTAAACAGTTCCAACTCTAAACCTTTTTATACTCCTACTGTGTTGGAGTTGTAGTAGTTATGAAAGGCCTCAAAGCTGGCTTTGCAAATTTGTATGGGAATTCTCCAAGGAGGAGCTACCTATGTAGGCAGCTTACAAGCCATAGCGATTGGCAATAGCATTGGTGGCAAAAAGTCATAAATAAAATTGGTTCACTGCCAATGGCTTTATTCACTCAGTTGTATGTTACCAGCTACACTAGTATTTTCCAGAGAAGCAAGATCAAAACAAGGGGTGGAAAGATGACTTGGGAACTGCAGCTAGTGCTGGAAGGGGCAGGCATGTACATTTTAAAGCAACCCAAGTCGTTTCTGGAAGACCTAAGCCTTGGAACCCTGTGTTCTTTCAGAAGTGACTGGTAGTGTAACATGCTTCATCACACAAGTACAGCTGATGTCTTCAAATGCAGCTGACCAGCTGTGCTTCTGAATGGCCCTCAGAGCAGTTAATTTATGTACCCACCAAGGGATATGAGTGGCCTTAGTCCTTCTGACAGAGCCAGAAAATGGAGAGTTGGGAGATCAGTCAGGATGGAAACTGCAGTGACAAGAGTCTGTGCTTCCCCCTGACATTCCACAAAGCATGCTGTCAGATTGGAGTACTTGTAACTAACTTGTTAGAGAAGAGAAAGCGAAGAAACACTTTGTACCCGCCACAGCAGGAAGTAGCTTAACACTGCCACATGTGAAACTGAACTAAGGGGAACTAGGAATAAAATAATTCTAATTCCTGTAAACTGTTCAGCAAGGTGTCTGATGGCCTGTCCATGGCAGAGGAACCAGCCTGCAGTAATTTCTTTTCCAGTTGGAGAACATGGGGCTTGTGCAGGGCTTGTAAGAGCATTTCAAGAAATTGTAACACTGGAAGGATGGTCCTCCCCCCTTAACCTGAAAAAAAAACCACAAACCCCACCAAAACCCACAGTCATTTACTTGCTACCTGTATAAAGTGATCCTGTAAGAAGTGCTAAAAGTAATTAATGATTGTAAACCAGTAGGAATGAGCCTAATGTGCTGAATGACACAGTTGATGAGGTCCTGAGTCACATCTGCAAGTCTGATGCCATTCTGCTGTACACTGATAAATCTCGAGGCTTTAGCTAGTCTTGGAGAATTACGTGCAAGAGCCTGAGAAGGTAGCTCCTGACAGCAGACAGTTTGAGACTACTATGAAATTGAGCATAGAGAGGCTTCTATGAAATTGAGCCTACACTGCTGGTATTTCAGATGTAGAAACTGGGTGAAGGGACCCCTCTAAAACCACAGCCAGTATGTTTTCAAACCAGTTTTCCATCAAGTTTTCATTCTGGCTTCATAAAAAAAGTCATTATGAGGGTAGTACTTGATGCATTGATTTCAACTAAGTTTGGAGAGTTTAAGAATAAAGCTTACTTTTAGAACATGGAATTGTTTTGTATATTGTTTCCTAATGCCAGGTAATCTTACCTTTCAGAGGCATCCTTCTCCTGGATCAAGTCAGCTTTGTGCCTGTGATTACCATCAGCTTGCCTTCAGATCTTCCAGACAGAAAAAGTAATTTAGATGAGAAAGCATGTACTTAATACTGTGTTTACTTTGGAGTTACTTTTTTTTAAAACAAATTTTTAGTTGACCTGAAATTTGGCACTTGATCTTAATACCTTGTTTGTTTCCCACTAAGAAAGCTAAGTCAGTGAATTAATTGGTAAAGGGACACTCAGGCCAAGGCCCAAAGCTGACTTCCCTGTGCCTCCCCGTAAACACACAGCCTTTTCAGAAGCTTCAAAATAAAAACAGCTTTCCATCCTGAGGGCTAACATTGGTTTTAACTTCTGTGAAGTCACTTCTCCACACCACGACAGGATGCTGGCTGCCTTCACGCCCACAGATGCACCGGGGCAGCTATCCTGAATGGTGTGATGATGAAATTCAGGTGTCCTGAAGGCTCCAGATAGCATTCTTCAGAAAAGGACGAAGGAGTATCACAAACAGCAGCTGTGCCTGCAAACCTAAATAAAGCTGCCCAACCTGCTTTCAGATCTCTTAAGGTTGAGTGCCTTGCAAGGAAAATATCACTACCAAACATTTCTGTTACTCAAGTAATTTGACATTTTATATATGCAAAGCAAAAATTAAAAAGGCAGATTTGTATTTCAAGCACTTTACACTTTTATGGCCCCTTCCACTCATAAAAATTGTTAGCACTTGTAAACAATGTGCTTTTTGTTATCTGTGACAGCAGTACCGTGTGAAGTCTCAGAAAAAATGGAATTCCACAGAAGTACTGGCTTACTATTGCTGAGTAGGCCCCGTCCGCCTGTGCTGATTTGTACTGTTAACATTTTTCAAATAAACATTTAAATTGTTTATTAAACTGTGTTCATGTGTGCATCTATATTTAATTACATAAAACAGCAGTTTGCGAGATGTCTTAGGTGTAGGGTACTGTTTATTTTTTCCCTTGTTCTTATTTACAGAAATGGTTTGTCAGAAGAGTGACGAGGAAAAAAAAACCCAAACCTTAACTTCCTGAGCACTGTTATCATTTGAGTGATCAGAATTATCCATGTTCAGCTGAAGTTGTTAATAGTGAGGGAGAAAAGCCAGGATTTCCCCCCCACACCCTTTAAAGAAAGATTATCATAAGTTTAATGAGATCTTTAAGTTATTCACAGGTATTTGTTCTTACAGTTGCTCTCTGACAGGAACAGCATGAGTTGACTCACTGAGCTGACAGCACTGCTGTGGTGGAAGAAACATTTCTAACCTTGCTTTGCTTTGCAAAAAAAAACAAAAGAAAAAAAATACTACCAGCAGTACAGCATGGTACGTGTCAGCCTGAGGTTAACAGGGATGCTGCTCAAACTTCCCTTTTTTTTTTTAAATTTTGGTTTTTTGTCTAGCACCTTGTAGGTCTGTGCATTTACTTCCTTGAGCTCAGTGTCACTGGAGCATAGGACCTCAAATGTTCACCCGATAGCCAGCTGTGTAAGGAGGATGGAAGCAGGGGCTGTGTCACATGGCTGGGTGCTCTGGGCAGGCGTGGTGCCATGAAGCACTAGAGCAGGGCTGCTGCTCTGCTGCTGCAGGCTGGGTGGCAGCATCTGGCATCCCCGCAGCCCCAGCACTGCTTTCCAGGACCGTACCCAATGGAAGTACCATAATGACAACATAACCATGTAAGACAGAGGTGATGCTAGAGCTGCAAAGGCATTGGAATTCAGAATGTGGTTTAGTGGAAGAAAACATGACAGAGGTAAGTCATCTTCATCCAGCGCTAAATGGACTCTAGCACGGGAACGATGACTGCACAGATGAGCAAGTCTTCAAACAGTTGTAGACAAACTCCTCTGTATGTGGAAACTCATGGGTTTTCCACTTGATCAACATAGCCCTGGCACTCATTAATGTAGTTCAAATAGAAGCAATGTATAAGGCTGAAGTTTAGCTTCTTCAGAAAAAAAAAAACCAAAACAAAACCCAAAGACTAGGACGGACAGAAAACACAACAGTTCCTCCTTACTGCACAAGCACAGTATGAATTGGACTGCAGACGGAAATGTGGCAGCTGTTAGCATGTGCTCTGTGCTCTTTGCATCCCTACTTATGAAACTGTAAACCAAGCACCTGCACAGCAACAAGGAAATTTAACTCTAAACAGCTGCAACATGAGTGGTTAAGCCTGCAAAAGTGTTGGTACTGCTTCACAACTTGGCTGATTTCCATGAGCTAAGTAATCCTCTTCTGTATTGTGTTCTACAGAGTTACAAAGCAGAAGGAAAAAAATACTACTATCAGGCTAACAAAATTAAATTAAAAAATAGTTCAAGTCTTGAACACAGTAATTGCCAGACAACACTGCTCTGCTATGGAGCTGGAGCTATCAAGTCTTAAAGTACCAAGTGTTCTGCTTTAGCATGCACGTTGTAAAAGCTTCATGCCTTTCAGAGGAGAGTATTTAGGGGTGGGACATTCTGAACCATTCTGTAAATTAGTTTAAAAACTCCTTACCACAACTAACACAGTTAGGAAAGGGCAACAGTCCTGCATGCCTGTCAGGGTAGGCAGGGCATGAACTAACAAGGATACAGGTGCCAGCTGGGGAAAAGGGAGGGGAACTAAAAAAACCCAAACCAAAAACATCCCACCAAAAAAATCCCCTTACTAACTGAAAAAGGCCCCACTCCAGAGGATGGCAGTGTTTTTAGGAAAGGCAACATCTTTCATCTCATGAACTGGTGGCTCCCACTGCAGCTCTCTTCTGTCTCACTCTCAGAATGTCTCTGCCTTTTAAACACATGGAGTTGAGCAGCGCCGACCCCTCCCTCCATAGGAACTCCTCTGGAGGGGGTCAGTATCATCAGGTTCTGTTTCAAACCAGAATGAACTCCTGAGCTATAAATTCAGCATCTACCACCTTTTTTTTTCCACTCTACCATGTATTAACACAGGTGTTCATTTACAGTGAACAGAGATGGTTAGGCTGTAGAATGCAAGTACTGCTTTTGAAATGAGGTTTACATTAGGAGTTCCCAAAATATATCACACTTTCAGTCTAAGCGGCCCCTTACTGGACTGCTTCCAAGGGCTAAGGCTTGCTTAATTTTCCCTTTTTGTTCAGGTGACAGACTGAATATTTTGGTTTGCTTACAATGAATTATGAGAAGAAGCCTCCTGCAACACAGCTGGCAGCTATACACTCATCCTAACATAACAAACAGAAAAACAAGTTATTAAAAGAACCCACTTCAAAATACTGCATCTCAACTTCACACATATGACTATTCTGAGAGAGGTAAATTTGTTTTCCATTTTGGAGATGGAAGTCTGTAAATGCACTCACCTCAATATCTTCCCTCCATTCCTGGGTTCATCATGCCAGGTCCACCCAGGGGTTCAGGAGATCTCAACAATCTGCATCTCAGCATCTTACTGGAGCGTCTCATCACCAGCACTGATGAAAGCCCCTTTTCAGCATGTCCAGCTGTCATGCACAACATAGTGGTGAATTTCAAGTACGTAAACAAGATGTTCACGATAATGGTATTTACACAACTGTATACTTGGGATGCATTTGCCTTCTACTCGGATTGCAACTTCTCATTATTGTTTGTCCTTCCCATTTGCTTTACAGCCTCTGAAGAGAGACACACGAGCAGGAATTCCACAGCCAGTTTCGTATAGCATGTACCTACCAGCTGGAACAAGTGTAGATATATTCAATTCAGGAAAAAGTGTGAGGGTTAGCTGTAAGCAGAACCACAGCTGGCTGCTCAGAGACCAGCTAGCAGGAAGAAGCTTTTCCAAAATAATAGGAGACGGACAGAAATGATAGACATTTTAGTTACAATGACCACTGTTGAGCAAAATCTAAAGCCATGACCCGAATGGTCACTGAAGAATTATTCAAGAACTGCTTCTACATTCTGCTTGTCAAGTAATGCAAAAAGAGAATTTAGATTTTACATCAATCACAAAGTCAGCGTTATGAACAAAAATCAGCTGCTGAGCACACACATAACACACATGCACTGCCATCCATACCAGAATAAATGTATAGTGTCAACCAGGACCCAACCTACTAGTTGAGAGTTTTGAAGCTTACAGTACCATACAGTCAAGGAAGAAAAACATATTTCAGAATTAGTGCCAAAAAGCTTTTGTTTTCTCTCAGACTTACAAGAAGACTACACATGTGACTGCACCACTGCTGCCTGCATGGAATTAGTTTACAGACTAGATCTATTTTAATATTACTTAATAGATACTGTAAACCAGTGACGATTCTGCCCCTTGCTTAAACTTCAGTTGAATCTATTGGTTGTTAGTAGCACAAGGGTTGCTCTTCTAAATCTCATCCTTTGTACAAGTTCCTTTATTAATGCCTTAGAAACAGGTTAAGGGTAGAATTCTCCAAGACCAGCTCACAAAACCATCTACATAACTGCATCTTGTTCACCTCATTTTCTAGTTCTCAGCATCTCTTACTCATTTAGCAGGGCTAGCTGTTTTTTTTTGTTGGGGTTTTTTTTGTGTGTAATAGCTATTTTTGAAGAGTAAACCCTCTGATGCAAGAGTTCTAGTATTAAACTTAAGTAATTTTAAAATCTTGAAGATCAAAGCAGATCCCATCATTATCTTTTACATTTGAGAAAAATGGGTAAATTTTGAGCTACTTCAAAGAGCGCTAGACATAATTTGCATTTTAAAAAAAAAGATTTATTTAGACATCTGTTGCTCTTAAATTACAAAAATTAAAAAGAGCACGCAGTGCACAGACACACTACTTATTATTCTATAGCTGTTTTAAGACGTAAGGTGGCTTCTTCAAGACAAGACAACTCAGCATGATCCAAACTCAACTATCCATTTCTCATATTTCTCAATGTCCGCAGCAGATACAGATTTAGAAACTTTCTTCAAAGCTATTTCAAAGTCTTCCATAGTTGTTGGCATGTGCATTTCATCTCGCGAAAGATTTCTTATTTCTTCTGGTGTTAAGCCTTCAATACGCCTTCTCATAGCCATCAGTGACGCATCCCTATGAAGAATGCAAAAAAAAAAAAAAGAAAAAAAGAAAAAAGAAAAAAGTTACTCAATAGAGGATGGTGAGTTCAGCTGTTTGAAAGGCTCAGCAGCATTCCAGTTAAGCTGTTGCATTCAAAAAGATACAGTGAAGAATTGTAAATTTTACAGGAAGTTTGCCAAGTGCTTGTACAACCTACAATAAACACTATGCCAGCCATATTTTTCAAACATGGATTTATCCTCACTGGGTCTCTGAACAGCTACTAGGCAAGGCAAAAGAGGAAAAGACTAACTGGTTTACCTAATGCCCCTGCATGCCAGTAATGTAGCTGCTGTTCATATTTTTAAACAGAAACAAGACAAAGTAATGGTTTCACTCCTCCCATGTATAGAAGTGGCTAGAATGTTTTGAATGTTTCCTGGTCCAAATAGGAATCCCCCTTCAAAGACAGAGGGGTCAACAGTATCTACACGTCCAACCTACACATTCACAGCTAAATGTTAAACTACAAAATCTGTCCAGCCGGTAGCTCTCAAACTTCTGGCCTCAATAAGCATTAAGTGCCTTTACAAGTGTGCCATTTTCTTGCTGCATTAAGTTTGACTGCATTTGGATTTCCAACAGTAATATCAGTAGCAGCAGGTGATGAGCTTGTGAGGTGATAAAGGGATAACATTGAAAGACTAAAGTTCCTGCTAATTCATTGTTATGTAGCTTATAAGAAGAAAATGCTATTTATTTTTTCTAGCAGTAAAGATGGAAGGTTAATCCTAGGGATATCATAACAGGATATATAATAGCATATTAGTAGGTGAGAATCCGGAGAGAAAATGTTTTATACATTGTCTTCTAGGAGGATTTATAAAGATGGTTTCAGCATATTCTGCTTCAGTTCCTTCCCCTAAAGGAAACCATAACTGACAGACTGCATGAAGTTACTAAATAAATATTAGCAATTAGAATGCATAACACCATAACTAGAATTTCAGAACAACCCAAAAAAGTTGCCTTGTTGAACTCAGCCAAATATCACCATGCTTTGCTGTTATACCACCATTTGTGAACTAAAAGCTGGTGCTGCGCCAGGGGGATGGGAGAGTATCCCATGCATCTAATTTGTTTCCAGACAGCAGTCTACAAAAAACCCCAACAAAACCCAGTCAACCAACCAACAAAACCCCACCATACCTCAACGCACCCACAAAATTTAAGCGCAGCTGCCACCACTTTCTTCCGTAAAGTCACTTTACCTACAGCTATTCCAACATCAACAATTAGTGCTCTTAGTGCCCAGAGAAGTACCAAAACTACATTTAAAAAAATATGAGGCCACCCACTGGAACACACAGTGGGCGTCAGTTCCATTCCAAAGGCCTTTCAACCCTCACAATCCGCTCAGAACAATGATTCAAAGTCAGCTCATACTCACATCTAATATGCAATTTAGATGCATTTGGCATTTCCTGAATGTCGTCTTAAAATAAAGTTTCACCTTCATTTTTCCATAGTAATATGGTGACTGTTAGGAACTGTACTGTTATCTCAGAACTGGTTTTCACTCTGGATTTCACCTCAAATTCTTTAAAGTAGAAACTTGAACAAACCGAAGTTCTTGGTTCACTTTTTCTTTTGCTTGTGTCACTAGTGAGGACTGTTACTCTCTACAAGTTTGAACTTTACTATGCTTATATGCTGTGGGTCTGAACCATGCAAAAGCACTTGTAATCAGCCGTGTCTTTTGTCTCAATGTAAATAAAACATCCATGTCTGAGATCTGTTTTTCCTGACGCCATCAACAAAGTGTAAATATGCAGGCTAATACAAGTACTTTCTTACTAATTTCAAATCATGCACATCCAAACACGAGTTTGTCTGGATTTCTGGTTGCTGCCACCTCAGTCTTCTCTAAGGAAACTGCCATAAATGAAAGATTTGGGTGTTTCTTTGGGTTTGTTTATTTGCTTGCTTTTGTTTTTTTTTTTTTTAATTGTATTTTTACAAATGGACTTTGATTAAAAAATAAAAAGCAACAGTGTGTGCATATGTGTGTGTGTGTGTGTGTGTGTGTATATATATATATATATATATATATATATATATATGAAATTCACTGAAAGACATTACACGTATTCTGATGTTTAAAAAAGTGTATTGGCATCCAGTATAAATTTAATCACAAATGAACACTGAACAGGCCGGAGGGGACAAACTGCAGCTAAAATGCACAAAGCAGAAGGTCAAATAAACTGTCTTTTGTGTAACAGGAACCTATTAACACAAACTCCTTTCAAAGCACAACCAACACCAGGACTGAGCAAAAAAACATCACAAATTCATCGACAAGTGAAACAAATCTGCACAACACTGACTCAGAGCAACTAACATACCATTATTTTCCCAGACACTGTGTAACGTTTATTCAGGAAAGAGTACTGAGGCTCCAAACTCTTAGTTCAGCCTTCAGCGACCCTGCTGACAGAGCCTTTGGTGGCAGTTCTGTGTACAGGCTACTTGCATTCATCCCTGTGGCACAGCATATTGTCCTCTCCACTGTGCTGACAAGGGTTTGCAGAGCTGTATTAGAAGTCAAGGCAAGAAACGGATCTGCGTTTGAGGAAAGTAATGAGGTGGTTTTAATGCAGAACAGTTCTCATATCCTGTTCAAAGTACAGCCCCACAACAGCTGCGTTGGCACAACGAGGAGTTCAAGCCTTGCACTGCTGCACTTCAGTGCTATCTCCAAAGCCCAGAAGCATAGTTACACAGGTGCTTATTAGATGACAACAGCATCTTAAGATGCTTTGATTCTTTGTCCCTTACTGCTGATTCCATAATTGGCCACCGCTACAACTGTGCCAAGTGCAAATCTTTACATGTAAGCCAGCTGACTGGTATTAGTCTCCTACAAGATCAGTCCTTTTCCTCCCTTCTCAATTTTTGAAAGAAAAGATCGGGGGAAGGGTTAGAAGGTACTTTTAGTCAATTATTTCAGGAACCTAGGTTACAGAATAGGCCCACAAATGATTGTATGCAAACAGTACTGAGGAGAAGGGGAGATGGAGGAGGGAGAGGAAAACTTTAAGTCAGGCTCATCACTAAAGCCAGTGTGCTGAGTACACAGCTCTCGTAATGTCACACAACACGGTATAGTTTTTCTGTGGCACGAAGAAAGAACACTCCACATTTTTCCTTTAGCTATTCTGGCCTCTGCCACTATCACCTCTTACACGTGGATATTCTGCTGCAACTCTAGAAGTTAAAGCTTACCATCGTGTGGATATTCCTCATGCAAGGAATCTGGTATACATGAAAGAACATGAAATTTTACCCAAATCATACGTTCTTTAGATGACTATGTTGCAACTACTCTTCATCGTTATTATATGAAAATTATATTAAAATATTATATGAACATTTTCAAATGGAAATCTAAGTAAATATTAACACAGTATTTCACCTTTTAGCCATACATAAAAAGACATGTTAGTCTGTTCTTATCCAACAACTTTAATCATGTAAATTAGTTACTTTACAAACAGTTTTGTCAGAGTTTGTAGAATAGTAACACAAGTGATGCAATGTTAACATACCTGCATACGTTGGTAATGTCTGCACCTGAATAACCCTCCATTTTCTCAGCTATATTTGCAAGGTCAACATCATCAGCCAGTTCCAGCTCTCGCAGATTTATTCTTAGGAGTTCCTCTCTACCTTTTGCTAATCAAAGAATAGAAAATTGAGTCTATATAATATACTTTCTGAAGATAAATAATGAACTGAAGAAGGGTAAAACAGAAGATAAGAACACAATAATTACTACAAAGGTAAATGTTCAATGTTTAGATTTAACCTGGTCCTGAATTCATAAATGAATGTTCAATAAATTGTACATGTATCAATTAGATTTTCAAACCAGGTCATTAAAACTAAAGGAATATTGATAAAGTTTACATTAGTCTTTTCAACGACTCCTCTCCCCGAGTCTTCATACCTGATGGTAAAGGAATGTAAATTCTCTTTTCTAGTCTCCGTCTTAGGGCTTCATCAATATCCCAAGGAAAATTAGTAGCAGCAAGTACCATGACCATCTTGGAAGGATCGTCATTTTCAGTAGCTCCTCCAACACCTGCATTGGACAAAAGAGGAAGTAAAATGTTTTGTGACATTTCATGTATAAAGAGAACAATATCCACAATTCTATAATATTAAAGCAACTACTCTATTGCACTTTAGTGAGTCCAAGTGCAATAGAATCACTAAGTGCAACACAGTTCAGTTTTACTTCTATATGAAAGCCTGCAAGCAAAAATGGAGCCTCTGTTTAATTAGGAGCAGTGGCATATGCCATTGCTCAGATCAGGAAGTTCCTCTCTATCATGGCTGGAATGGTTTTACAGCAGAGTTATTTGTATTTCTGCCATTACAGTGCTTCAATCTTCACACCGATGTCCTGGCATGGGAGGAAAAACAAAACAAGCCCCCCAAATCCATCACCACACCAAAACCCAAACACCTGCCCCTCCCTCAAACAGTATTCGCTAACAGCCACGTAAAAGCAGCGTTACTCCCCTACAAGGTTTCTTCACTTCTGAATTCAGGCCAAATGTTTCACATATACAGGTGGATTCTTAGAAACTGCTGAAGCAAGCGTTTACATCTGGTGAACTGAATCACAACTTCTCAGAGGCAGAGAGAACACCTCAGTCTCTGAAGTACTGTGAAAGTGCTGCTATATGAAGAAGTTAATTTAATTAAACTTGCTACTCTCTGCATTTACTGTTTTTGCTTATAATCATAGGATTGTGCTGTGGAAGAGCCATTGTACCTAATCTGCCTGAAAATTTGCATATAAAACACCGCTTATGAATGCTCAAGTAAAAGGACTTCAAATAGTTGTTACTAATACAATTAGCTTATGTACATACTTGAGTTATAAGAGTAGTATTAGAGCTCTGCTGCTATTTAAAGACAAACATAAAAGGGTATCAACATCAGAGAAGCAGAAATAAATACACAAATCTTCTGACTCATGGAATTCTATCACAAATTATTCCAGAGATTAGCACTTTCCAGTTGCAACTTTCTGTGTCCCTGCTCACCAAGCTATAAAGAGGATGCCTTTACAAGCAACTTTGCACAGCATTGTTGATTGATGAAATATTAACTAAACAAGTGTAATGAACACAGTGTTTTAAAAAGAAAACTCCCCCAACCATTTCTATTAAAAAATTGCCTTCATTTTTTATTTCTATCATTAGGAGGAAAAAAGAGATCCCAAAGAAGTTAAGGGTAACGACTGCCTTTGAAGTTCAAAATTGGAATAAGGTGACAGTTCTTCTGAATCACTTTTTACTTGGGATTTGAAGAAGTAAGTGCTATGCTTGGCAAAGACTGAAAGGCGCAATTACTACTCTTTTTTTCTCCTGTAGTTTTGAAATCTTGTATTTTCCACTGAAACTTCATTATTCTAGGCCAGTAATATAAGGTCATTACTCAGATGCTAAAAGATTGTTAAATAACTGGTATCTTTTTTCCTTCCACACTGACAGTTGGAGTAGTGCAACTTGTATCTTTTTACCCCAATTTTATGTAAGGCTTTCAAACAAATTGCTTCCGAAGAATGAAGTTTCGATTTTGTTTCTTTTTCTCCCTCAGGTTTCCTCCAGTCAAGCACTTCCCAGTGATCAGGTTATTTACCATCCATTTGAACTAGCAGTTCTGCCTTCACACGTCGGCTAGCTTCATGCTCCTCTGAAGTTCCCCTGCGACTACAGATAGAGTCTATCTCATCAATAAATATAGTTGTTGGGGCATAAAATCGAGCCTAAAGAAAGCAAAAGATAAAGCAGAAACTGAAATGGCAGTCTACTCGCATTTAAGAAATAGCAGTGTATTCAGAGCTGAGGAGTGACACATTTACCCCAATGAACCAGCTCTTAAGTATCAAACACCACCTAACCTTCCCCCTCTTTGCCCACTGCACACAACTATAGGGCAGCTGTGCATTCATTAATAACATTTAAGCAGAACAGTTTTTGGCAAAGTCCTATAATTGTTAGGGCTATAAACAACTGTTTAATAAGCTAAAGGCAGTTTTACACATTGGGAATAACATTTATAGCTGTGAAAGTCATCACAGAATACTTGAATGAGAATTCAGTTAAAAGCTAGGACACTAATACGGTGTCCAAGAGACAGGTCAACTGCAAAATAACTCCAACTTTTCTGAAAACAAGAGAGGTCAAAGACAAGGATCTGCGATAATAAAAGCTATCGGCCTGCAGCAGTTGAGATGCTGTCTACTGTGTACAAGCATTTTTGGTCCGACAGGCATGATATCAACTCATTTCATAAGATCAATCTATATTGTAAAAGATTGTTTGTTTCCTGACTTTTCTGCCTATGGTAACTGCAACTCTGCTGCCCCCTTCAGTACTGGGCACTCTCACAAACACTGCATAGGCAAGTCTGGTAACACGTGAACTAAAAATTCCATATGCTGAGCCAATTTCAAGTGTTAGGTGCTTTGAAGCCACCTACGCTTTGGAAGTCCACTTATTTTAAACACAAATGAAAAAACACCCACAACAAAACACTCACAGACTAAGTAGGATTCTCACCCAGAAAGCAGTTAGATTCCATCTCTAGTTTTACATTCAAGTATGTTCTACGGCACTCATCAGCTTACAGTGAGCTACGTCTAATATAACAAGCTATCCCTGAAAATAAAGATGATCCAATTTTTCAGTTTTTTATAGAGCTATTTAGGAATAACCAGATCTTGAATGTACATGGCCAAATCAGAATGTCCTAAAGTGTCTGAAGCTTGTTTATGTACACTATGAGTTCGAAACCTTGGCAAGGTTTCACTATTCCAGAAGTAGTTCTACTTCATTATCTCACTATTTATGTTCAGAAACGTCAATCACCATTTCAAACAGTAGACGAACAAGTTTCTCAGACTCTCCTCTGTATTTTGAGGTAAGTGTGGAAGAAGAAACATTGAAAAAAGTAGTCTTGCATTCAGTGGCTACAGCTTTTGCCAGGAGGGTCTTTCCAGTACCAGGAGGACCAACCATCAGCACACCCTATTAAAATGAAAAAGAACCACTTTTAGGACAGGAATCAAAACACAGACAGTTTCACTGTTTGTTTAATAGTGTATTATTAAAATACTAGATGTAACTTTCCCTTGAGAAGTTATTCAAAGGTAAGTAATTAATTTCTATTGCTTACCTAGAACAATATAGCTGAAGTCAGTCTATTTATCTGGCTGATACCTTTATTTTGTTAGTACTATTTACCATAAATTTTGTTACTAAAAAGTGTAAAGAATTTATGTAAACTGTAAAACATCTGAAATTTCTTGTTCCACCAGGATACCATCTCAGAATCCTACTTATCACAGAATCAGATTTTTTCATACCTTCCATGGTCTTCTAATTCCCTTAAAAAACTCTGGCATCCACATTGGTAAAACTACAGCTTCCTTAAGCAGCTTTTTGGCTTCTACCAAATCAGCAATGTCATCCCTGACAAGAAAGAGAAAGTTGTTTGACAGATTCAGACTGTTATTCAGACTGTTCAGATTATTGTTATGTAACAGCACTTCCATAATTCAGGAAAACAAGTTGGATTTATTTACGTTCTAGTGGCAAAAGTCTACAACAACTACAGCTGACATCCAGCTAGGAGACTCGAACTGGATGCAAAAGCAGAGAGACACATTATTTCATTAGAGTGTCATTGTTCTTATTCACAGAAAGAATAATAAGGCAAGCTGGTTAAACTTATGGTAGTTACAGATGATGCGTTCTTCTTTTGCCAAAAAGTTGACTGTCCCTGAAACTTGAATACAATCTTTCATCGTTTCATCGTTATGAGAAAATTTACTGAAGACTAGTAAATACAGCTGAATTTAAAAGAATTCTTTTTCAAACTTACAAATGTATTGATTCTTAGATACCTTATAGGCTGGTCTTATTTTCTTGAAGGTAACTCTCAGGGCACTCCACTTATCAGCATGTGCCCAAGAAATATTTTGGTTTCAAAACATATCTATATGGAGAATTAGTTTAAAATCTGAAGCTGTAATTTAAGATTCAATATAAAAACTGAAACATACATTTACATATTAAGCTGAAATACATGAGAGCTGCATGCAAACAAAGCTGTTTGTGGGATTGTTCAGGGTTTCTTTTTAAAGCCGACTGTAATTTCCAGAAGATTTTTGCTCATTTAATCCTCACAAAAATCACCTAAGCTTGGAAACATCTGGAACACAAAACAACCTTTGTATAAGGTTTAATATTTAACACATTTATGTACAGGTACTGGCACATGGTTGTATTTTATACTGGCGGTCACACCATGTCCAGCAAGATTTCAAAGGGTTCCTATATTGACATAGCTTCTTTCTATCTTGGTACATGCCTGGGTAGAAAAACAGGTTTTTAAATGAAGAGACATTGGCAGACACCAGAACAATGCAAAAGAGTATCTCAAATATTGATTTCAGGACTCTTCAAAAAGCTTGAGAAGCTTTGTATGGTCAGGCTGGATGGGGCTCTGAGCAGCCTGAACAAGGGAAATATGTCCCTGCACATGGCAGGGTGTTGGACTAGCTGATCTTCAAAAGTTTCTTCCAACCCAAACTATACTATGAATCTATGGGTGGAAAAAAAAGTTTAAGAAAAAATATTCAACTACACAAGAAGTTTAGTTGCCTATTTAATAAGTAAAGAAAACCTGTAGGTACTTTTTTTAATGTAAGCATATGCTAAACTCCTTAATTATTGTCATATTGCATAAGATAAAAAAGAAATGACGAAAAAGAAACAACTCAAAAAGACTGGCAGCAGTGTTCAAACTTACCATCGAATGTTGGGATTCTGAGAAATTATATCTCTTTCCAAAGCTTCTACTAAATCTTTATCATATCCAGTACTATCAAACTTCTTTGGTTCAGACTCTGAAATCTCAGATGTGGATTTGTTCTGCATATATAGGATATAACAACGTAACTACATAATAATGGTTATGCTACTAATGGATTTTTATAACGAGTCAACAACAGCATAATATTTCTAGAAGGCGGCAACATAAGCCAGCACAAAAATTATGAAGCATCCCTATTACTGCTGCACTGTAGGACTGATGTGTTTACCCAGACTTCTGTACTACCCTGGTCCCATTTCCTTCTCCCCAAAGTCAGCATACTGGACTGATACTGTTTCTTTGCTTTTTTAGGTGATCAAAACTGCATACACCTATCCCTGTATAACAGTGTTCAACTCTTCTCCCAGAGAAAACAAAAGCTATCTGACAGTAGCTTGGTAGGGGAAATTACATGTGAGACTGGATCAGAAAGTGTCACACTGAGCTCAAGTATCTCAAAACCTGTTAAGTGTCATAAATATGGGACACACAAAAAATTAAGCAGGGCTTTATGTAGGATGAGCAACGGTGATCTGCAGGAAGATCACAGAAGTAAAAAGAGCTAAGTAACTGATACAGAAGCAGTAGAGCAGAAGCAAGTAAGTTACACAGTTGAAAGGGCTCAAACACCAAAGGCCATGCAACCGAAAGGAAATAAAATGCACTAGACATACCCTGTTTTTTATACACTTAACAGCAAGCACTGGTGATGGCAAAACAACTGTAAAAAAGAAAAAAGACCTATCCTGTCTCTGTGTGTGTATACCCTTAGTGAGAGAGGATTATCACTCAAAGACAATGTCATTTAGCTCCCAATAAAAGCAGTAGCTTACATAGCGAAACAATTCCACCCTTGTGGTTTATACTGTTTCCACAGGCCATGACACCTTGCCACAACATAAGCTTGCTGAAGCTATTACATGGATATTTCATTTATTCAGACTTTGGAAAACTACAAATTTAGTGTCTTCAATACGATCTCTTACTCTGGTCATCAGCTAAATTTATGGAGACCAGAAAGAACACAAGCAAAAATTAAAGCACTCCAATTGCAAAGAATCAATCATAGATCATTCTCTCTCACAAAGTATGCTGGGTTTTTGTTTGTTCTAAACTGAAAAGAGTGCAGAGCCAATACCAGATCTCAACAGAAAAAAAAAAAAAAGTAAAAGGTCTAAGATTAAATAAATCTTGAAATGCTTTGAAACAGGCGTGTCAATCTCAGTTTAAAACATACAAAAGCAGTTAAAGAACCCGGAAGACATCCCATCTGAATGAGCTCCATCAGGCTTGGTTTCAGGAACTGAGTGGTATAATTTTAAACAACTCCCTCCAAGCTGTAGTAAACAAGCCCATATTTACCAGATCACTTCCTCCAGATAAGAGTTTGTGGGTTTTTTTAAAATTAATCCATAACCAAAGACTGTCCATAAAGCAAAAATACCTTGCAAGATGAAATTCAAATCAGCACGCTGACTTGAACAGAAGAAACATTTTATAGGTGTCTAATTTTATAATAGATTCAATATTAAGAAAGCAAGACTGAGTTTCTCGACTTCATTAAGTTATTTGCAAGCTTACCTTTTCCTCTTTTCCTTTATTTTGCTGATCCTTTTTTTCCCGGCTCCGAACTGCCTTCCCTTTATCATTGGGATTTCGAGAGGATGGACGGTGAGGGCCTCTGACAGCTGCACTTATACGATTATTGTGACCTCTGCAATCACTGCACTGAGCAGACTGACGTTTTCTGGGTCCTGGCGAAGGTCTAATTAGTTGTAACATATGCAAAAAGCCTCAGTGTAAAGTCACTGGTGAGCACTACATAACCAAATCAAGTGGTTACAAACTGAAAAGCCACTTTGCTCAAGATAAAAATCTGTATGTCAGAAACAAGACAGACATTTTTAGATAGTCACTAAGAATCCATTTTCCCTTTGCCGCAAGCTCAGGGTTCATTTGCTTAAAACAAGCTCCTTGCTTTCTATATTTCATAAATAAAAGTAATCCCAGTATTATGGAGCTTAGAAAAAAATAAACCAGACCCCCCCCCCCCCCCCCCCCCAAATATATATCCTCCTTATCACAATGGTCCTTACTCTTCTACCCAAAGAAACAGAAAGGTTTCTAGGGAACAACAGTTTTATTTTTACTTCCTGGGAAAGAAAATGTGTACGTGAGGCCTTCACTTGTTTGAAACTAAACTACTTTTAGAAGCACATATGAATAAACCAGTATTGTGACTGGTGTTATGGATTTATTTTTTAAAATTCAGTTCCTTCTCCATACAAATCCATCACTCTCACAGATAGACTTTTTGCATGGGCCTTCCTAAAATTCCAGCATTAATAAGCTATCAGTCATGTTTAAGTTCAAGGATATTTCTAGAGAACAGAAAACAGAAGACTGATTTCGAGAGAGTTTACTTGAACTATAAGATGTGTTTTGACATATCATTCCAGACATATCAGGATTCAGTACCTTCATAAAAGTTGTCTTTAACTGATTCCCAGCACCAAGTCTGTTAGAACTGTACATACCTCTTCAGTGTGAAATGCATATTAGGCAACATGAATATGCTAATGATAAGATCAGCAGCATTAAAGTCTCTTCACTCTCCAAATGGAGTATCTACCAACCTATACTTTCACTTATGAACACCCAGTCACCTCCAAATTCCACCCAAAAGCTCAAAATACGGGATTAGTGTGATTACACATCTCATTTCCACCTAAATCAGTGAGTTCTGCTATCTCAGTATAAGAATTTACTGTAGTTATTCCAATGCAACATGGCCCAAGTTTTCACTGGGACTTTTTCATATTAGCACAACTCAATAGTTCCCCAGCTGGCAAGATAAATGGAACAGAAACAGTTCTCTCAAGTCTTTCCCTTTTCAGAAACATGAGTTTGTGTATTGCTTCTCTAGAAAGCTTCAAAACATTAGGAAAGTTCTACCTCTCAGACTCTATTCTTCCAGAAAGTTTGAATGAAATTGGCTAGCAGTGTTCCCAAGTTCTTAAATGAGATAAACAGAAACAGGGTGATCACACGAGAACTGTTTCTTTCAGAAAGCAGGCTTAAAATAAATCAATTTTTTTTTTAAATGTAAAAATGTACCCATAAAGACTGAAGTTTTCCATCTGCGAGGAACAGCTTGTAAGTTCAAAGCCTCAAAGAACAGTCTGACAGTACAGATAAGCTGATCTAATAGTCACTTTCTGACAGAATGCACAGTTCCATGCCTGCTTTGCATGCACTACTCTTCCCTTCTTCATGCTACCACTGGCACAAGTTAGAACCTCCCATTAACCAGTTCAGATAACAAATCTCAGGAAAAAAAAACAAACACAAAAGCCAAACAAACTAAAAGCCAAACAAGAAAACACTAGCCCCACAAAAACTTTTTTTGCCAATCTAGGATCCTGAACCAGCTAATCAATGTCAACGGAGACAAAAGTGAAAAAACTCAGGCAACTGCAGAGGGTAGGACTACCCTTTCAGTAGGAGCTACACTGTCAAACCACACCACAAGGCCTTGGCTTCACAGACACTAACCAGCATAATTCAAAACTATGTTTGAAATAAACACACTTGCCTAAAGCTGCTTGTTCCCACCCCTTCCTTTGAGCTTAACTGACCAGTTCATGAAGGAGATCAGGGAACCACCTTGCTAAACAAAAGAACTGAGCTCGGGAACTTCTAGATTTTACTGTTACTCTGATAATATGTCTTCATCCTTTTCATATCAGCTACATGCAGGATCATTTTAAAGTTGATGAGAAGATCAATTCAGGAATAGAGTTGAGCTTCCACAGAGTGACAAGTTTATCTTAAGCCAGGGAAAAAAACCCAAACCAAAACGCAGCTTGACATTATTCAAACCTATGTAAGATAAAAGCTCCAGAATGTTCTCCCCCAAAATTGCATCTCCTTCACCACAAATGATAGCAAGCTGCTGGTGATAGGCATGTCTAAGTTCTAGAACAAAAATTACACAGGAACAGGCGGAAGTTAAAGCACACCTTGCCCTTATAAACATTAAGTCTTCAAGTTTCCTCTTACCTACGTTCAGCAGGTACTGGCAAAGACCAGACTTCTGCATCATGAGCCGGTAATTCTTGTTGTGAAGCTTTCAATGGCGTACTGTCTAGTTTAAAACTCTCTAGTGTTTTCATTATATCTTTCACATGCTTAGCTTCCACACTTATCTCCTGCCAAACCTGATTAAAAAAAAAAAAAAAAAGTAGATTAAGCACATTGCAAATAAGTTTGTAACAGTTCTCTGTTCAAGCCCATGTAATGCCTGGATGGATTCCACAAGGTTTCACAAGCTCCCTGATTCTACTTCAATAGACAAGAATAACCTACATCTGATATTAAGAAGGTTTTCCTGCCTTCCTCAGGACATTTAAATGATAAACAAATAGATTTTGGATTTATCACCAAAGAGACTTCTGAAAAATTTCTCATATTAAACAAGTATGACAGAAGAGAGCACAACCTAAATAGATCGAATGTCACTGAAAAAAAAATGATGGTTTGTGTTAAGGATAAATTAACATGGCAGCCACAACGTGGTTTCTATTAAGGACCTAAGTCACACTACTAAAACACTGAGATGGAAATAGGACTATTCGAAGTGTTATCAGCCTAAAAAACTTCAGTGTAACAGGGGCACTCATCAGCAAGCAGCTGACAAGCCAGACAGTGCGCTGACTCCCCAGGGCTGTGTTCCATTGCCTTTTGTCACTGTCAGAGCAAGAAGTCATAAAGATGACTTAAATAACAAATCAACTTTAATAACAAAAAAGCCTATAGATAACAGCACTACAGTTTATCACAGAATGCTGTATTTTTATACTTTTGTTTACCATAAGATAGGGAATTCTTGTTATTTTAATGCTTTTTCCTCAAGATGTCCCAGAAATGTACTATTTACCTGTTGCCATTTCTGCTGCAGATATGTATCTCTGACAGAGTAGAGGTACTTATTCATTTGGTCAAGAACTCCCTGGTAGTAGACCATTGCAGAGTCATAATTTCCCAGTAAGGCGTATTCACGGGCCAGCTTTACATTCTCACTGATCATAACAAGGCTCATGTTCAACATGAAGCTGAAAAAAAATAAGAAATACTAAGGAAAAAAATAATCCCAGAACCAGAACAAAGTTTTGCAACAATTTTCATACACTCATTATCTCATCTGGCATATCAAAATACAGAAGGTGAAAATATACTGGTTAGAAAATGTCCTAGAACAAACATCATCCATATAGAAAGATAATTGTTTCTCTATTACTAGAAAGAAACTTCACAGAACTGTTCCATGCAGTGAAGATTCTGTTGAAAAGCATATATAAATTATGCAGATTTAAACGCACCATTGCAAGCCACAACTGCACACCCTCCTTCCCTCTTTATTCTAAGATAAATTGGTATTTTACTGTTAGCACTACAGTATCATCCATATTATACTGGCCTGTGATTTAAAAAAAACCCTAGCAAACAATAAACCGAAGCCCTTTTCCCAGATGGACTACATTCTGTTAATTTTTTTGCCTTAAGAGTCCACACATATAAGTTTAACAGTTGGGATTTTGCCTTGTGGAGAACGCTATTTTTCCGTTTGTTTAACAATTATTTAGTTCTATTTAATGTTTCTTTGAAACAAATATCCACTTTTAATGTCCAGTTTACACCTTCCTATCACCTTCATTTTTACACTGAAAAAGAAACTCTTGAAAAACGCTGAGGCTGCTAAATTATCACCGAGAGGTAAGGAAAGACCACAATTAAACATTTAGTGAGTAGTTACCCACTTTATTTAACATATTGTTCAAACCATGCTACTTTTCCTCACCAGTGGTGGGGGTTTTTATGAGCAAACATCATGGACTGTACCCACTTTGTAGCATTAGCAGAATCTGCACTTTTAGATTAGAATAGCATAGAATTATTATTTATACAAGTACAGTAATAAGTATAAAGACTTATTAGTAGAATAAGTAGAATAAGCAGACTTATTCTTTACAGTCACCACTGTTCATAGAGCAGTCATCCTATGTTCTTACCTATTACTTATACTAGCTATCCCTCTAAGATACCTGCACTGTGTCCACTTTCCTGTCTCTTGCACACCAAGAATTTCACCACTCTCCTAATTTCCTAGAACCAAGCACAGAAAACATTAAAATAAGCAAATAAACATGCCTGCAAGAGAGTCGTCTTGCTCTGATTTCGGTACCTGTGGCCAGCCAGTACCAGTAAGAGGCAATTGCAGACAGGCAATTACAGCTAAGCCCTGGGATGAAGCATACTTGATACAGATCAACTATTTAAAGAATGTAAGAGGTACTGAAGTCACATGCGCAATAAACTGACTTAAGACTGAACACAAGACCGGGTCAGGGTCAAATTCGGACGCATTATCAGAGGTTTCTGAAGCCACACTTCGCACACACCAGGCAATCTATCGCTAAAATATTAGCTCCCCATTGTAAGTAGGGGTTGCTAAGTACAAATCAAACATTCAAGACTTCCACTCCTTTTACGTCCCCTTCCCAAGTAGCTTTATGCACGAACACACTGCTGATCCATCCCTGAGCCAACACCCTTTTCTTTTGGCTTCCTTCTCTTCCTTCCCCAGTTTCCCTTGCAGCAGATAGCTGCTGTGAGAAGTTTCAGCCCAAACAGCAAAACTCTGGCAGCAGAGTTGCTGAAGACAGGCCTCTGACAGCCCACACCCGTCCTCGCAGAAGAGACCTGTGGGGTGGAGTCTGGAAACCTGCTATCATAAGAACCTACACTATATAATCTCACTCTGTCCAGAGACTCGCTGAGCTGGCTGCGATGTCCACAAGCTGATATAGTTAATGTGACCAGCAACTACAAAGACTATAAATATCCCAGGCTAATTAGGCTTTGCAGACACAGCTTGACTTGGAAGTTTTGTTGGTTTGTACCTCAGGAGAAAGAGCCTGAAGATGTTTGTCAACTGCTGTATGGATCATCACACAGATATTACCAAGGTTTTCCCTGCTATATTTGGGAGCAGGCTTTTCCACTCCTGCTCATCCTACCAGATACACCTGTTTGCCTGTCCTGAGAATTCAAACCGATGACTAACACTACTGAAATCACAAGTTGAGCAAGATGCTAATAAACGTTTTAAAAATCAAGTAAGAGCAAGTTATTAAAGCCACACTAGACTTCCAAATACAGAGAGAAGTCATAGGTAACTTTTTTTACGCTGAATGCTGTAGAGCAATCCCAGCAGAACAGCAATTCTGTTCAAATATCCAGGAAAAAAAGAAAGCTTTTAAGAGTAGTTTTCACCTAGCACTGTGAAAATAGCAAGCATCAAAAAAACCCTAAGGAGGCTAAGTCAGAAAGATATGAAAGCTTGGGACTAAAATTACAGTATTGCACATAACAAAAAAAAGTAAATGTGATTTTCAGGTGGGAGAAGACAGAAGGGAGAAACATACAAAAGAAGAATGAGCTACTAACAGGGGGGGTGGGGGGTGGAGGTGAAGGTAGTGCTCACTTAAATTTATATGCTCCCAACATAACCAAAAGCAGTAATTTCAATGAAAATCCAGAAATCTATCCATTTCATCACTGCACTGAAAATCCAAGAGATTTTATTTTAAACTAGAAAACCAATTTAATTTGGTGCTTCACACTGAGTCATAAGAGCAGAAGAGCTTGAAGTGGCTTCCAAATACAAGGCTCCTGTGTACAAGTGGTGTAGAAAAAGCTGCTGGCTCTGCTTATGTGTGGACATGCCACCGCTGCTGTCACTTGAATACAGGCAGAGCTGATACGCTAATGTGAGTCTGTAGGCTTACCTGTAACCGAAGATGCTGAAGTACTTCTAAGATGGGGAAAAAAAAAAGTGTACTAATCTGAAACCAGAATAAAGTTTACAGCAGAAATCATGGTAGACTGTGGCAGCTCAGAGTAGGGTGTAAAACACACGTGGGAGACACGTGAACATGCATAAAGCCACAGTTAAACCAGACCTGAAAGAATGAGGAAAAATCCAAACACAAAACTGCACCACTTAATTTTTTGAAGTATTTACAAGCACCCAATACTATTCTGCAACAGGATGTCAAAGCAACAAGGCTGCACTTATCAGCTATGACCTTTCCATGAATCATGCCCAGTGAAGTTATCTATGTTCCAACAGCAACTGAAAAAGTAATGAGCTCGTAAAGTTTACAGCAAACAGGATATTGTACAGTAAGAATACTCCCTCTCTACACTAGCTGTGGGTATATATGGTTGGCTGAAATTAACACAATAGAAACCACCAAATTCACCCATCTCCAGTAACAGAATACATTTTATTATTTGCTCCAAGCACCTAAAATACTTCTAGAGTTTGGAACAGCCCAGAGCAGCAGGGGTTGAAACCTAACAAAGGTTCAAGGTACCTACAACTTCTGAGAATGTTTTGGAACTTATTTTTATATTTTATTTTAAAGATAACAGCCTGACCATCATCAAGAAAACACTAGGATTGATCATGTTTTTCCACAACGACTTCAAGGAACTATCATAAGGAAACACTATAAGTAACTTCTACTTGCATTCATACATTAGAAGTTGGGAAGCTGTAACTGAACACAGTATCAATCTCTTTGCAAAAAAAAAAAAAATAATCCCACTTTAAGAAATAAAAGAAGAGATGATACGCAGATGGGAAAGGAGATTAAAGTTGGGGTCTATCAGTTACTACAAGGAAGCCATCAGTTACTCTGCTGACTCAGAGAACAGCACTATACAAGGAAAATACTTCCAAAGAGTCCAACCTTAATGTTTGAACTTAGCCAGAGCCTGAAGTTTGGCAGAGCGTACGTTTCCATTATCTCAGTCTGCTATACAGGCTCTGACTTCAAAGCAATCATGTAAAATTCAGAAAGTTCTCTCAGCAAGCCAGAAGAGGAAAAAAATCCCCAAAGTAACAGTTTACAGGAATCAGTTTTTACTGATGACATGGTAGCCTGCATCATATTTGAGTTCTCTTCCAGCTTTAATAACTCCTCTTCATAACATCCACTCCCAGCAACATTTAGTATCAACAAGCGATTGTGTTAATTATTTGAGAAATAGAAGAGTTGTCAGACTTACTGGATACTAAACAAACTCGTTCTCATCCACTTACTATATGTAATAGTAACGGTAGTCAAAGAAAAACCATCAGCAACCACTAACACAAGCATACCTAGCTGTTTATGCAAAAAAACCCACAAAACAGATGCACTGTTGGCAGACGATTTTGTTTTCGAGGCTAAGCCCTTCAAAAAAGACTTAAAAAAAGTCATATTACTCCCTATTTCACAGGGGCTGGTATTCTTTTTCACGGTCAATGTTAAATTAGCAGATTTCTCAAACAATTTAGAAGGGTCTCCAGAGGAACGGATATCTAGACTTGCTGCCTACTGCTTCTCTTCGGAGCAAAAACTAGAGTAACTGCAAGCTTACTCCACTAACAACAGGGAA